TTCAGTAGGGTAAGTGTAGAAGAAATAATCAAACACAGAAGAAATAATCGAGGGGTTGTTTATATAAATATGATAAGTTTCTTTGTCAATTTGTTTATTCATTTATTTTCCATTGTTATCTATTCCTTCCCACAAGTTTGTATAATAATATTGGAAGCAGACTTTCTCGGATTCGGTTACTTTCCCCCGTGTGTTGTTATAAGGACAATGAGTGTAAAGGCGATAAACGAATGCCACTCATACTTCAACTATTGATAAAAAAAAATATAGCAATGATAATGATATTGATACCGATAAGGAAATCACAAAGTTTATAATAATGATTCTGAAAGTAAAACAAAAGGAACAACGATGATAATGTAATGATAAGGAATTGTGTAATGGATTTAGACTATATACCAGGTTTTACCATAGCAATACAAGGGACAAAATCAAGAATATTATGGAACATACATACATCATTGATAACAATAGCATTGAATCCCCCCCCCACCTGCCGTTGGCTATTCTTTACCTTGAGTTCAAAATTATCTTAATACTTGCATGATGAGATAAGACAATGGAAGATAAACATCGTGAAAATGTAGTTGAATAAGTATCAGACGCATCGAATGAAGGTTAAGGGAACCGTTTTATATATATATATATATATATATATATATATATATATATATATATATATATATATATATATATATATATATATATAACAGACTGTCCCCTTAAAGAATGACATTAAATCACCTTTCTCGAGGACACAGGTGACGTCCGTAAACATGACCTCGGCGGAGGCAAGCCAGGTAAATAATAGATAGATGGATAATAAGGAGATAGATAACAGGTGAAGAGATAAAAGATAGATGATAGATAATGACTGATAACAGAAAAATAATATATATAAATATATATATGCACGATAGCTAAATAGTCTAATAGATAGATAAATTGGTAGATGAGTAAATAGATATATAAACAGATACATCAATGAATAGCTAGATAATATACAGATAGATAGGTAGATAGTTAAATTATATAGGGATAAATGGACAGATACTGTCATCATAACTGCTGGAATTGATAGAACCCCATTTACCCCAATTCCCATTTCACGAGGCCTATTACAGATCTTTATTATCATTGTGTTTATTTGCCTCATTTCTTTTGATCGCCCTTCCCACTGTTATTGCGGTTATTGGCGTTTTTGCCATTTTCGTCTTTATCCTTCGCGTCTTTCTTTTTCCTCATTTTTCTCTTTCTTTACATCTATCATCTTCTATCCGTCATTCTCTCACACATGATAGATGGGCTCTTTTTATCTATCTAATATCTCTGTCTATCTATCTACCTATTTGTGTATCTTTATATATATATTCACTTAGCTATCAATCTGTCCATCATTCATCTAGCTATTTTCTATCTATATATAAATCTGTTTATCTGTTTATCTATCTATCTATCTATCTATCTATATCTGTTTGTCTATCTATCTGTCTGTTTATTTATCTGTTTATCTGTCTGCTTCTTCTATAGAACCATGTATCTCTTTATCTATCTATCTTTCTATGTACCAGATAGATATATAAAGAAGGATAGATAAATGGAGGAGAGAGAGACGGAGAGATTTATATACGGACAAAGATATATATGTAAGCAGAGATAGATAGATAGAGGGAGAGAAAGAGTGCGTGTATTTTGCCATCCATATATGTATAAACTCATACTCACACACACACACGCACACCTTTTAGTATCTTTTAGTGTCATTTATATAAAAAACATCTCAGTCTCTCTCTCTGTCTACTTCTTTTCTCCCTCCCCCCCCCCCCATCTCTCTCTCTCTCAATGTAGTCTATGTAATCTATTTTTATGTTTTACTGAACTAATAAATATAGTTCTTAAATAGTGCATTTTATTATTATTGTAGCAATACGGTGTGTACATTCTTAGAATTATCTATGTTTACCATGCGTTAAAATGAATAAAAATTGGAAATAATATATATATAATTATAATATATATTATATATATATATATATATATATATATATATATTCTAAATGTGATGTGTTATATAATACGCCTATAATCACAGTCAAACTTTAGTCCCATCGATTTACATAAAATTATCAACCTCGCCATATCCACTCTGTTCTTGGCGCCTTTAAATTACCCGTTAATAATAAAATCAGGGCTTGGGTGCCCCGCCCTCGTACGCAGTGTCACCATCTCACGTGCTGTCAACTGCCAATTAAGCCGTTTCCTCCTTGCTAACTGCAGTATTTCCTTCGATAAGTGCAAATGGCCCTCGCGCCTTCACACATGACATCTGTCCTCTCACCTTTATAAAATTCTTTTCTAAAAGGGAATTGTTGTGTGGCTACAAATACTCGCAGTCAAGATAAGCGATTGTGATAAGGATAATTTAGGATTAAACTCATTTGAATTTGCTGCCAGTGTGTAAAATATTTAATGAATAACGTGTGGGGAAGGAGAAAGATTGAGAACGAGATATGTGTTTTGCAATCGAACACACACACACACACACACACATATAATACGTGATGGCATGATATTGGTTAAGCTGATAATAATACTGGTGCCATCAATAATAACTATACCAGTTAAAAAAGAAGAGTGAGAAGAAGGAGAAAGAGAAAGGGATGGGCGAGAGGGAGAGAGACACGGAGAGATATATACAGAGAGATAGTGTGTTAGCTAGGGAGGGGGTGGGGAAGAAAGAGAAAGAGAGGGGGAGAGCGAGAAAGAGAAAAGAGGGGAGAGGGAGACGGGGAGAGAAAGAGAGGGGAGAGGGAAAGGGAGACAGAAACAAACACAGATGCTAATAAGACAGAGACAGACAGACACAGGGATGAACAAAGAGAGACAAAGACAGGCATCGTGGAAGACAGAAAGAGAGAATGATAAAAGTCCCTGTATTTTAAAGCTGAAACAAGAAAAGGAAAAAACGGAGTAGTTAGCAAACAATGAAGAACAGCTGTTCTCGCAGAAGATGAACAAGCCTTTTCCGAATCCTCGCTCGTTCCTTGGCTTCGGCGATCAAGAAAAATGATTCCGTAACAATTGCACTTGAACAGAATAAGAAATCGCATGTCACCGGAGTCGCCGCAAAAGGCTAATGGAACAATGAATGATAAAAATGATGATGACGATGACAATGTGTGTTAAATGTGTTTAAAAAAAATCTGATTTCCTTCGACATATACGTTGATCTGTGCATAACCNAGAGGGGAAAAAGAGGGGAGGAGAGGAGAGGAGAAGAGAGAGAAGATGAAGAAGAAAGAAAAAGACAAAGGAAAGGAAAAGAAAGAGAGAAGAGAAGAGGAGAGAAGAGAAGAGAGGAGAGGAGAGAGAAGAGAGAGAGAGACGAGAGACGAGAGAGAGAGAAGAGAGACGAGAGAGAGAGAGAGAGAGAGAGAAAGAGAGAGAGAGGTGGACCGCAGCGATACAAGATATGTATAGTATATACGTAATATAAGAAGAGACTACACGTGGCTTGAGCGATTAAGCATACTGAAAGCATGCTGCCACGTTGTACACACCGCCCATGTTCAATCGCGTGTCTGCATGTGTGTTACCCAAGTTTGGTCGCCTCCAACCCAAAATATCCCCCCGGAGGAAGCTTCGAGCAAGCCGCTGGGGGGCCATGGGTACTTAAAACTGACCTCAGCTGACCCTGAACTGGTTTCATCGCTCCTCCTCCAGTCACCCAGGATGGGCGCACACACCTCGTCTGTCGCGGAGGCTGCCCTCGCAGGGCGTGGGTCTGTTTGTTCTGCCTCAACTCAGCACTGCCAGATACCGCGTGTTCCTTCATCGCAATTTTCTGTGTATTTTGTACTATTTATAAGGGGTGTTACTCTTAGAAATATTAAAGAGGAAACAGACCACATCAGTTTTTCACTACCGCCACCAAGCAATTCATAACATCCTTTATAGAAGGGGCTATCCAACCTTTTATTTAGTACCTATATTATTAAAATATATATATAATATATATATATAATATTATACTATAATAAATATATATATTATATATATATTATATATAAATATATATTATATATATATATAGAGAGAGAGGAGAGAAAGAGAGAGAGAGAGAGAGGAGGAGAGAGAGAGGTAGAAGAAGGGGAAAGAGAGAGATTGAGGAAGAAGGAAAGTGCGAAGAGGAAGAGCGGAGAGAGAGAGGAAGAAGGAGAGAGAGAGAGAGAGAGAGAGAGAAGAGAGGATAAGCTTAAACTCGGAGAGAAGAAGAGAGGAGAGAGGAGAGAGATGAGAGAGGACGATGGAGGAGAGAGAGAGGAGAGAGAGAGGAGAGAGGAGAGGGGAGAGGAGATGAGGAGAGGGAAAAAAGATGAAAGAGAGAAAAAAAGAAGAGAGAGCGAGGGAGAGGAGAGAGGAGAGAGAGAGGAGAGAGAGAGAGAGAGAGAGAGAGATGAGAGAGAGAAGAGAGAAGAAGAGGGAGAGCGAGCGAAGAGAGAGAGAGAGAGAGAGAGAGAGAGAAGAGGAGAGCAAGGAAAAGCAAGCGAAACAAAGGGGAAAGCGAGAAAGAAAAAGAGAGAGAAAGAGAAAGAAAGAAAGAGAATAGAGGAGACAGAGGAGAGAGAGGAGAGGAGAGGAGAGAGAGAGAGAGAGAGAGAGAGAGAAGACAGAGAGAGAGAGAGAGAAGAAGAAAGAAAGAGAGAGATGAGAGAGAAGAGAGAAAGAGAGAGAGAGAGAGAGAGAGAGAAGAGAGAGAGACGGAGAGCGGAGAGGAGAGGAGAGAGAGCGAGAAGAGAGAGGGAGAGAAAGAGAGAGAGAGGAGAGAGAGAGACGAGAGAGCGAGAGAGAAGAGAAAGAGAGACAGAAAGACAGACAGACAGACAGACAGAGAAAGAAGGACAAAAGGGAGAGAGAAAGACGAGAGAGAGAGAGAGAGAGAGAGAGAGAGAGAGAGAGAGAGAGAGAGACGGAGAGAGGAGACGAGAGAGAGAGAGAGA